TCTAAAAGGTTGCGTGTATCCATGATTTTATGAAGAGTTCGAGTTGATAACTCTTGTGAAACTCTAAGAACAGTACAATACAATTAAGCAAAATCAGTTTTTCAAAAGATTTTGCAAGACATTTCGTATAGTGATAAAGAGCGAATGTTGGTTTTTTCAAAGTGGGCAAAAACGATCAAAATGATAGAGTTTATCACCAATGTTTAGTAGTAGCAAAGGTTGGCATAAGTTCCGAACACAAGGTTCCAATCAGAGTTGGCCAATTCGCCATATTCTTCTAACTCCTCACATTGCAATTTGATAGTGCCTGCTGTCAACTTGGTCCCTTCCAATTTATTCCCTTCAACTCTATCTAAAGCAATGTATGTTTCCTCTGATTACTTTCTTCGACTTTCGTACTGTGTTTCTTCACCAATTAGAAGATTAATATGGAGATTACACTATTATCTTATCTCCGCCTCAATTTCTGCATACGTTAACCATTATAGACACCAAAGATAAGCGTAAGATATTGAAATAAATGCTGTACAACTGCGACGAGCCAGAACAGAATGTGATAAGTAAGAAAAGTGCCGAGACCGAATTCACATTTAATAACAGATATAAAAGCTTACGTTATGCGTCCTTTGTTTCAAGAATAAATCGAGACAGAGCGATAAACGGAGTTCTCGAACTTACTGCGGAAACGCCTAGTGGACTTTTTGTCTTGTACACATTTTTCCCCAAACAAATCGAGCCAACTGGTTGAAGAAGAATTTTAATAACATGAAATGAATCTGCTGAATGTTAATCTTAAATCGTCTATAATCTCAATATAAAAACGAAATTTATCCAAAACAACAAAACGTGTGGCATTAAAGCGAGTAATTAGAACATTTTCTTCAAATCCTCAATGAATTGAATTAACATTATTGCGCTAAAGCTGGGACTGTGCTTAATACTTTTGTTTAGGGAGAATACTGCAAGATTACATTGTTGTGCTGCTTTGAAGTAATTACAACACTAATATAAACCAGTATGAATCGAAAGTAGTGCAAAAATTTCCCGCGAAAAGTTTGAAAGACTAGAGCATCAATGCTAGCAAGAATAGTATGACGTTGCCCAAGTGAATTACTGTGCTGGCATTCTTGTCGTAGTACTCGCCGTCATCTTCCCCATCGACGTTGACGCTAAAAATTGTATTATAAGAGTTACATAGCTGCTCCTTATACATTTTTCTGGAACTGATCAATGATAAGTGATGATCAAAGCCCTAAGAAGCCATACACTCTGACTTATCGCTTATTTTCGCATCCTCTAGTTTAAAACTATTGACTTGATATGAACACGACATCCCATTTAATGCTACAGTACCACCTGGAATAAAAACACAATTCAACATTGGTTCTAAATTGTTGCAAAAGTCAACGTTAACGCGCCATCAATCAATTGGTCAAGCCCAACATACTTGTTATACTCAGAAACAATATAACCTTAATTTTATTCCCATTTTCAACGAGTGAACTTGAGATTGGAAGATGGAGAGATAATTGGGCTATTAAAAAACTAAGCAATTTTTTATTTGAACTCAACTTAGAGGTTGCAAAGAATGTGGAGCTATGTGGAGCTCCAATTTTTTAAAGTGTTATGCGAATACTCCTCGTTTCTTCTCACACTTTCATTTTCAAAAAAAATTGTTCTCGTCAATGGCAACTGCAGAACAATTTTCGGAGGAGAGGCAGGAGTGAATTTTGAAAGTAAGACGAGAGCATGAGAGATTAGAACATCGTATATATGATTACTTCACACACCTCATTCAAAAGTTTCATTGTTCAGTGATTGGAAAAGCAGTAGAAATATAGATAATTTCGTGTCCTACTTTTCAGAAACATTGCACCCTTGGGAACTTTCCGCCGTGGAAAAGTATATAAAAAATATCTGTCTCATTGCGTTATCAAAATCCTCTTTGTGCGAAGTCAGGTAAATATCAAGAATCAGAGGCAGTGTATAATTCGAGCGACTAAGATGAAGGAGCAAACAAAAAGCTTTAGTGGAAAAAAGTGTTTTTTGCCCTAACGAATATTTGCAGACACAAAAATAAGTATGAACTAGAACTAGATGAGAGGGAACTTTTTTGATCACTTTGATCATCTTGCTGTCTGCAAGGGCGATGAGAAGATTTGAACCTAATTGGGCAATGCATTGAGACAATAGATTTACAACTTTGGGAGAACATTTCGAATAACCACAGAATAAATTAGGCGGGTAGAGGTGGAGCCTAATTAAATTTTGTTTTCCATTGAACTCTAGGCTAATTGTTATTCAAATATGATAGATCACAACTATGGCTTATCATATCTGAAGAAGAAATTAGTTTTTGACATAACCCAATGTACTATGTAAAATAGCAATCTTAACGCGACACATTTTCCCAAGCACCAGCCAAACAGCAACCAGCATTAACATCCCACCTATTGAGCGCAATTACTTATTGTGCTACCCTATGATTGAAGATTATTGTGAAAAGGAGTTTTCTCTAGAGGTCAGAAGAAATTTGGCATGAATGAAATGAGGTTTGTATTGAATCGTTTGATTGTTGAATTGGATTGTTTAATAATTTTCATTTTCCGATCCCCTTCAACTTCTCCTTCTTATTCACTAT